TGCCCGCCGCTCCTGGACCGAAAGATCAGAAATCGGAGGGGCAGAGGAAGGGGGATACTGAGGCTGGTGGGGTTGCAAATGGGGATTGGCCTGAACAGCTTGGGCAGTGACTTGGGCTAGAGCCTGTTGGTGCGTCATTCCGAATGCTCCCTGCACAATTATCCCATAATGTTAGAACTTGTCAGCTGATTGTACAACAGGAAGACAAATCCATGGCACCAAACATACAAGTTCTCCAAAATTCTAAGGAAATATCTTCAGACAAGCCCTAAGACAATAACACCCTCTCCTTTCATCCAAAAGTTTCTGTTTTGTATGTTCAATCCAGATGCCCGGTTTTTGGAAGGAAATTGCTACTGCTAACACAACTCAAAGACTGGATGTCGGATTCAGGATCAGTGTAGGTCTAAAATGAGTGAACTTTTCTATTCAATTTCCCTGCAAAATGGTCAAGAATCCATGATTTGGCATATATTTCCAAAGGCCGGGGGTTTAGCTGGTTTTGTTTTATTTTCTCAGCAGCCAAACACACCCATAAGCCGAGAGAAACCAGACCGGAAACAACACGTCAGGGAAATCCGGAAAGTCCAAAACTTGATGGTTTTCCGTAAGTAGAATTTCGACGGCAAACAACGAATCAGCGATCGGGAAAAAAGCTTCACCTGAACGGGCGAGAAAAGACCCAGAAAGCTCGGCGAATCCAGCAGCGTCGCCGGACTCAGACCCGGCGGCACGGTGAACATCGCCGGCGGCTGCGTTATCATCAACCCCGTCGGCCTGCTCTGCTTGAACCTCGGGTCCACCTCGCCTGAGCTATTCCCTCCGCCGCCGTCTCCGGAGCTCTCAGGCCTCTGCTGCGACGCCACCGCCGCAGCAGCCGCCGGAGAGGCCATGGCTCCGGCTAGGAGCTGAGAGAAGGACTTGAACTCATCGGAATCGGAGAACAAGTTGGAGACCAGAGTCATGGGGCCGGGGCTGAACCCTGAGCCGCCGTTGAAGAAGACATCGCCGAAGGGACGCGGCGGCAGAGATATCGTCGGCCGCGGCGGAGCTCTGCCGGAGGACTTCGACGTCGACGGTTGTTCTTCCTTCTCCGCCATCGGTTTTTCCCAAACGAACAGACAGGAAAAGATGGATTAAAAAACCACCAACCCTCAAAAAAAAAACTTTTTTTTATTGCTCCCTCTATCCTTTTTGTATATATCTTGTATGTATCCGTGTCGTATTTCTCTTCGCTTTTTCCTTTTCGGAGGTCCTTTAATGGAGGTTCCGGGAGTTTTCTTCTGTCCGGAGGCAGATCTGAAAAAAAAAAAAGAAAAACTGTGGCTTCGCAGTACAAAGTCCACGCAGCAGATATGAAAACGAAGCTCCCTCTCTCTCTCTCTCTCTCTCTCTCTCTCTCACATTTCTTTTTTTTTTCTGGTTATATAAACTAGTTTAATTTAATAAATAGTATTTCCCAAAAACAATTATAAGAAGGCTCTGTAAAAATAGACTTTTTGCCTGTAGAAAATTTATGAATCTAAACCCTATACTCACAATCTACAAGTCTAACAAGCTTTTAAATTTTAAAACAAGTAATTGAATCTGCATTTTAATAATTTAAATGGGGATTAAGGATTCATAACTTGTTTAGATATAATTGTTTAAAAGGTTGAGTTTATAGAAATTGGATTGTGGTACTTAATTCGAAAGTATCACACATGATACTTATTTTAATGCAAGATCCATATAATTTATCCCCTCAAAACTCATTATTAAATTTGAGTTTTATAATTTGTAGATAATAATCCTAGATCCTAACAGACCAAAAAAAAAAAAAAGACATGCCCTTTTTTTTTGTCTGCATTGTAAGATGTTGGATGAGATGAATCCCAATGCTCTGATTGGTCACTAGAGAGCTTTTTAAGCGCCTCCGTCGGTGTCCTAAATTACTGTTTCACCCCTACCCCGGAAAGTCAACAGCGGGATTCGTTCTCAACACGTTTCACCGATCACGTCATGCCACGTGGCAGTTTTCTCCGGATGGGCTTTATGGGCCTGGGAAAGTATGGACCTTTGGGCTATATATTTCATGCTCTGTGGCAAAGCGTAGGGACTAAATTTGAAGAAAGCAGCAAAATCATCGATGGTAGTTCGGACCATAAATATGCGTGGTACATATAGGCATGAATGAAATAAATGTGTCCAAATTATACCCCTTATCTATATTATATTTTATATTTGGTTTTAAAAAAACCCTTATCTATATTATATTTTATATTTTTTATAATTAAAAAAAAGAGAGAGAGAATAAGAGAAGGACGTGGGGGAGAGAGCTGGCAATGGCCAAGTTGACCCAATTGCTGTGGGGATGGAATTTGTTATTTTGTGAGTTATGAACAAATCAAAAAATAAAAATAAAAATCTGTGGGTTGCACGATGGGACGACAGTCACCGCAAATTTCATACATTGGTACATTAAAATTTTTATTTCCATTTGAGACCAACCACTGGACCATCCCTACATCGTCTTCTTCATGTTGTAGAATATGTATACGCAATGCAAGTATATACCTAGGCATGAAAAACACGCCCACATAATTTTCACAAACCCTAATACTAATAAAGCAAACCCTAATTCTTGAAACGTTTAAACCATGTAACAAAATCAAAGCATATCAAGTACGGATGCAGAGAGACGATATCGAGAAAAAAATCAGAACGAAAACCCTCGAATCATAATAATACACAGTTTCAAATCCGAAACAGGAAGGGGAAAAAAAAAAGCATGAGAAAATAATTTAAAGTTGGAAGCATATCATATAAGAGAGGAAGGTCACATAACTTTTTTTTTTTATGAAAATAAAAAATTGTTCATAAGACTGTTGAGTGCCTCCGATCTGAATCTCAGGACATAAGATGAAACCTTGTCGGCAAGAACGCATGGTCTAGTTCTTGGGGCCAATGTCCTTGAGACCACAGATCTGCTCCTCTCCCATGGCCGACATCACAGACACCACAAGATCCTTTCCATCATCGAACCCTGACTTGATCTATTCAAACACAATGGTTACTTCATATGTTAATGTTCCACCCGATTAAGATACCCGAATTTCGGTATCGCATAAATCTATAAGCAGAAGAAATTGCACAAAAGAGACTGGTATTAGGGGATGAGTAGGCAACACTAACCTGACTGAGCAGAGACTCGTCGGTGGGGAGCCTTAGGTCATCCTTGGTGTTACCATTATCGGTCAGCAAGCTAACCTGCCAGTGGGTTAACAATTTGAAACCTGTTAAAAACGGTTCTACCACATTGCATACTAAGTGATTCGGCATTCAAAAAAAAGCAGAGGAAGTTCATACAAATCCATCTTCAGAGATGTCAATCAGCTGGTAATCGGTACGGTTGACGTGTGGAACCTGATCAGTTTCAGAAACACAGAATCTCATATGGGAAGAAGACAGAACAATGATGATCAGCAGACAAAACTAAACAGAAGATGACACTTACGTCACAGTTATGGGAAGAGGGAACGATATCTTCCAGCTTCTTGCCGTTGAAGATATCTATAGCGACAAAGTGACATTTAGCATGGCCATGCTTGCCGGTCTTCGAGGTTGAAACCTCAACAACCTACACACAACGTGGAATGATCGGTCATCAACAATACTCGCAAGTTCTCGTATCATTAAGGAATCAAAAGCTCTTGACATGAAGAGAAGAACACGGAAGCATAACAAAGACACCCAATTCGCAACTCAAATACAGCACTAACATCAGTTTTAAGTCAACAATTTGATTATACGCGTAAACAATGCTATCATCAATCCAGTAAAATCATCAATCGGTAAGACACCAATGCATTAGAGAGACAAGATTGGATTGATGATAAATAACATGAACAAGGTAACGCCTGTCAGAACGGTGATATCGAAATTATTATGGGCACTGCCGAAAAAACGCATACTTGTAACCTTAAGCAAGCATTGCAAGGGACGAATCTCCTCTATCAAACCGCTTAAAGAAGACATCTAGCAAAAGTTCGTTCAATCGGACAACCCAGGTAATCGATCCTATTACCGATCTATCCAGACGAAATGAAATCAGACAAAACTAAAAAAAATCGAATAGAACAAGACGAGAAAGGATCAGAACTCGCGAGAACGAATTGAGCCTATAGAAATGAATGAAACCCGACGGAATCCGATCGAATCATGAGGAGGAGTACATGCGAATTCACAGATATAAGATAAGAAAGAAGGATTTTAGAACCAACCTTGCAAGGACGTCCCTTGATGACGATGTAACCGTTCTTACGGATGGTTCCAGCCTGTTGAGGGTAAGTCTTCGAAGCTCCGGCGTCGGCCTTCGACTCAAAGTGGTGCTCCTCGTCCGACATAGTTGCAGAACACAAGAGCTTCGAAGCCGAGGAAAGAGATTTGCAAGAGAATCGAGAAACACTAACAGACGATGGGAGGCTGGAGAATGAAAACGTAGGGGGAGAGACAGAGATTTGGCTTTTATATAAAGGCGTCTAGGGTTTTTGTTGGATAGGGACCATGATTCTCTTTTCGGACCGTTGGATCAAGGAATAAGATGTACGGTCCAAATTCGCTGTCCTTTTTTGGGGATAAATCACAGACAGACTCCCAAACAGGGCGCTGATTTTCACTAAACCTCTTTAAATTACAAAGTATTTTATCCTGAATTGTAATAATGAGAAATTTTGATAAAGTTATATATTTTTATTTAGCCCAAAACTAATTTAAGAGATTGAATTCCTTAATTTATCTTTGACTTAAATTACGTTAAATGAGAAAGTAAACAAGGTATTTCATAAAATTAGTATCAGAAAAAAAAAAAGTATTTTCAATTGGGTTCTTCCGGCTAAATATTTTGGGCTTTCTATGGGCTTCGCATATTTAAGCAGAAAATTCATGTATTAGCCCATGGACTTTTAACCAAATCAACAAAAGTAATTTGTAATTTAAATTATCAAGTAATAATATATCTTATTTTATATAAAAAAAAGTAGGCATAAATTTGTGGGACAAAGTTGAAGTCAAACTTGGTTGAATGGACGGAGTTTTTAACTATTTTAATTAAAAATTAAAAATTTTATTTTTTTAGATTTATAAATACTAAAAAATTAGAGAAAAAAAACAAAAATAAAAATCTAAAAATAAAAACTACTATTTGACCCTATATTTAATTTTTTTTTTTAAAAAAAGGAATTGAGCGTTAAATTAAACTAATTTATTAGTGTAGTCCGGATATTAGACAAGGGCGGGCCAGTCAGCTACTACTTTCTTTAGAGGGGGACGGGGAAACGGAAGGAGATTGTGGCAGGTGATGTAATTTTGTTGAATTATAGGGCTCATTATTTTTGGGGAAAGAGAGAGAATCCGCCGCAAATGTATCCATTACGATTACATAAATGTACATTTATGGTCATTCTCTAGGGCGATTATTATTTTACCCGTTATACCCTTTCAGTGTTCCTTTTATTTCGCTTTTATCCTCCACACAGATTATTTACAAAAACAAATTATTTTTTTCACCTCCGACCGAGATTAAAAAAAAAAACTACAAAACAATATATCCTCCAAAAATTATTCACCCACAAAATAAAATAAATGAAATTACAAAATTAGATGAGAATCTGAGTTTTGAACGGAATTTGTCCGATTGAGATAATTTACCAAAATCATTGCCACTAGGAATTTGAAGCTTTTGGAGGGGCGTTTTATTTGATTGTGGCCCAAATTATATGGTTTCCATTAATGCCCTTTACCATGGGATGCGCATCTTTGTTTGACTAGCAGACAAGAAAACTATATTTTTTTTTGGTAAAAAAAAAAACTATAATTAGTAATTGAATAAAACTATTTTACATTCGGATATGATTAACAAATATAATTTATATTCATTGAATAAAAATTATGGCCCTTATAGACTTATGGGCTGATAATATATAATTTATTTTACATAAATACAAAGTAATCATATAATACAGAATGCATATTTTCTATAAGAAATTCAAGTAGAATTAGAAGGGAACAAAGGGGGAGTCAGTGGGATAGGAGTGGGGAAGAGTTTTACTCTTCCCAATATCGAGATCTATATGTGTCGGATATAATTTAGGAATATTATTATTTTTTTATTAGAGAGCTTATATAAAATATATCAATTGGACGGTACTTATTGATGAATTTTATACGATTATAATATACTTTTTTTTTAAACCAAAAAATGGCAATTGGTCTCCTCAATATCCCATCAGGTACTTTTCAGTTGCACCACACAATCAAACTGTTAACATTTTAATTCAAATGCATAAAATGGGATAGTAATTTAATTGCATAGCATATGATTTTACTCGAATTAAATTTGATATATAAAGTAATTAAAGATGATTTTTGAAAACAAATTAACTGATTAAATTTGAACCAAATTTTTATAAAATAGTAATAAATATAAATAAATCTAATTGGGCCCCACCATAAAACCTATGATGCGATGCGACCCTTGACTCTGACGTGGCTTCGCAGATCAATCACAGCTTATTTCCCCTAATGAAAATGACATTTTCCAATGTATATTTATTTAGGACCACTTTACAAAGACTAATCCCAAAACGTATGTAGAAAATCATAATTAAAAACGGAAAACCGTCACGATTTCTTTTTGTCTAAATTCATAATCTACTAAAATAAATAAATAGAAACCTAGTTGGGGTTTTACAACAAAAATCGAAAATTGGCATAAATTTTTATTTTACATGCATAATTTTAAAATAACGATACATTACGTGTTTGTTATTACACATGTTTCGTCTGTTTTTTTCCTTTGTCATGAAGCATGGGTGATGATGGTTGCTATTGGATGCGACCAACCATCATCATCCATGTAGTTTCATCAGAAACCACATATGATTTTGATGTTGCATTATATATGCCCACACACATTATATATTTATATACGTATATAGTCACGTAGATAACGTGTCGGTGGATGGTCGGGTGATGACATATAATCGGTAACATTTACAATTTTCCTTACAGTATCATAAAGTAAAAAGGTCGGGCGATGATAATTGTATGATATAGTTTAATAAGTATATTGTTTCTATCCAACATGGGATGGGATGGTCGAGTTGTTGGCATAGTCAAGTGTTCGATTATTCGGTGGAAAAAAATATGATTTCTGGTCAAAAGATCCATATACAAATATTGGTCTCGAACCGGTGAATTTATCTAATCAGCTCATCCGAATGATAGTATTTAAGGTTTCCGTTATAAGGAAAAAAAATGTATTGTTTTTACAATTTATTTTTTTATCTGATTTATTCACTCTCATTGATAATCTATAATTTTATATATTCATAATACAAAACTGTCACAATTTTCATAAAATCAGATGGATGTTTCGAATACAAACTTTAAAAAGTAATTATACACAATCCAAAAAATAAAACAAATCATTATTTTTTTTGACAAGTTTTCTGTTTAAATAAAAATTTTGCAGTTGTCAATAATATATTTTAAATCGAAGACTTTTTTTTATAGGTATGATAGATTCGGAATTTTTTAATGATAATATTCTGGTTTGAGTATAATAATTTATGGTATTTGTTATGTAAATATAATCTTGGTATGTTGCAAATTGACAATATATGTTGTTTTACAATAGTTTATAGTTTTTAGAAATGTAAAAATAACATTTAAATATCTAATTTTTTATAAAAACATCCCATATAAATATTCAAATTATAAAACTTTTTATATAAATACATGAATTTTTAAAAAAATCTATAAAAATATTTAATTTTTAAATTTTTTCCAAATAAAATTCAAAATTTTTTAACGAGTTTGACTATTTGAAAATAAGTGAATTTTGGATTTTTTTTTTTTAAATCTAGATTTTTTATATCAATTTTGAAAAGTTTAGATATTTTTATAAAAATGTTATAGTTTAGATATTTACGTGAGATTTTTATAAAAATTTAGGTATTTATATGTGATTGTTTAAAAATAAATTAAAGATGAAAGAAGGAAAAAGCGACGACGTTTTGACGGTTTCAGAAAGCGTGTGTTAAAAAAGGAAGCCACGTGGAGGATTTCAATATAAATTGCTTTAGAAAAAAAAAACCCGGCTTTAACCGCTTACTGAAACAAAAGGATCAACCAGTCTCTGCACCAAAGGGCAAAGGACGACGTGATCCCATTCTCGTAATTATTTATAACTTCAAGGGTTTATATAGAAACTCACCAGACAATTGGGACCCACGCAGTTTAGTTGGTTAAATTACAGCTTAAATGTTGCAATTGATTGAATTTTGGGATATTATCATTATTATTATTATTTTTTTGATTTGATGATTTTCAATCACATGACTTGAAGAATGATTTTAGAGAAAATACCAAAAAAAGAAAAACGTGGAACATAATTAAATAAATAAAATGGATGTGAAGCTTGAGTCATGGAATCATTTGCAATATAAGATTTGTCGAAATCTGATTGCTGCGGCGGAGATTTATTGGACTAAGCCAAAAAAATATCTCACCAATTTCCATATTTCTATTTTATTTTATTTTATTATATTTAAATAAAAATGTAAATGGTTAATTATTATATTCAATCACAAAGTGCAGAAAAGAAAGGGCGAGGAAGGTGGAGAGAATCTAGAAAAAAAAAAATACCCATTTCTTTCTCTTCCTTCTTCTTCCAACGACTGTATTTTTTCTTGAATTTAAATATATAAAAATATATGTTATATATATATATATATATATTTAGAAGATATTGCAATAATAAAAAAGCGGAGAGAATGAAAAGCGAGGAATAAAAGGAGGAGAAGACCGGATGTTGACAAATTATTCATGTCACTGTTCTTGAAGGGTCGTGTTTGTGTGATTTTCTCATACGGGAATCTCTCTCTCTCTCTCTCTCTCTCTACCAGATCAAAAGCAAGGGAATTTCCGTTTTCTCCCCTGCAGATTTTGTGTTGTTTTTGTTTTTTGTCTCAGAGAGAGAGAGAGAGTGTGTGTGTGGCCCAGTGGATCGAAGATGACGATCTGAGTTTTTTTTTCCTTCTTTAATGGTGTTTCAGCTATAAATATATCCTCGTTTTCCCACAATTTTTTTTGTTGGGTTTCGAATTCACCCGAGGTTCGTATCTTCTCTGTCGAAGCTTTTCGAATCCGATTTTTTTTTTCCTGGGAAAGTGTCGAGGGTGTGGGTCTGAGGTAAAATTCCATGTCCTGAAACTTCATAATCTGATTGATTGTCTGGTTTTTCCTCCTGGGATTTATACGTTTTCCTGTACCCTTCACGCTCATTCCGTAGATTCTCTGTATCTAGCTTCGATAAACTTGGGTTTCGGCTGGATAGATCTCTCTCGTCGTTGCGTTGCGTGGGGAATCATATCTACATCTCTTGTTCAGATGCTTCGGTTATCTTCTCTGGTGAATCGTTTTGATGTACTGTATGGTGTGTATAGTTTAAGGTTCTTGTTTATGGTGTTCGTGGTGGCGGCTTTGGTCTGTTCTGTGCAAGCTGTAAGAACGTTAACAAAGGTTTGTTCTGTTGTAAGGATTGTGGGTATACTGTTCTAGAAACCAGGTTTAGCTTCTGTTAGCACTTGCCTTAGGAGTTTCAATGCGAGAGATGGTGTATTGTCTTGATGATGGTTTAAGTTCTCGGACTTTGTGTTCTTGTTTTCTTGTCAAGCCTTTTGCATGATCAAGATTTTGAGGGTTAGTGATGGTTCAGATGGTAAAGCTGTGTTTGGTAAAGTTTTGGGTCATTTGTTATTTGGATTACGTATAAGAAACCGAGGTTTTGGATTTCATTTTCAGGAATGGCAACAAAAGTGCAATGTGAAAACTTATTGTCCGGATATCACTTTATGAGGGATCTGAACGAAGATTCCAGTGGATGTAGCTGGACGTTTCACTACGTTGATGACAAAACCTCAGGGAATAATGGTCAGTCCTGCAATGGTTTCCCGTCGAGGAATATGGCAGATCCATGTTTCGGGTACGAGAAAGATGTTATGAGAAGGACAATGCTCGAGCACGAGGCTGTGTTTAGAAGTCAGGTACTCTTCTTCTGAAACTCCATTACCCTCTATTAGGAGGATTCAGCTCTACTTAAATTCTTTTTTGGTTCAAACTGAATCTTGGATCAGGTGTGTCAACTTCACCGCCTGTACAGAACTCAGAGGGACATTATGAATGAGTTGAAGAGGAAAGAGTCGAGTAGAGACCGGGTTCCTGTTGAGGCATCGTTTTCATTGACCCCCTTACTGTCTCAAGTTACTTACGATGATGCCCGGAAATGGAAAATGCCTGATTTCCCAGTTTATGATAGACCATCCATGTCGGTGGTTGAGGATAATGGTATTGGTCACTCCCCAATTAGTTCGAGGAAAGGAAGCAATTCTCAAGTTGGTTCGAGGGATGTTGAATTATTGGAGGTTAGACCAGTGAAAGTTAGGAAAAAGATGATAGATCTTCATCTTCCGGCTGATGAGTACATCGACACTGAAGAAACCATTGAGTTTAAAGGTAACAGAACTGGTGGTATACCAGGTCATCTTCCTAATGGAGATGTGAAAACCGAATTTCCGGGAGATTCTTTGAGAATGAGTGCTGATTTTAGGCGCAGCAATGGTTTGGCTGACTTGAATGAACCGGTTAAGGCTCAAGAACCAAATGGATTTGCATGCGGATATTTTGAAGGCCAAGATCTCTGCGATGGAAGGAAGATACTATCGATAAGTTCGACAAAGGAACATCTATCCACCATCTCTCTACGTTCAGACAAGTATGAGAGTCAGAAAGTTTGGCCATCTCGATCTTTAGGACCCGGTAACATGTTCCATCGAGATAAAATGTTACTGTAGGGGGTTCAGTGTCATATTATCCAAGAATTTCCTTTTCGGGTTTTACACGGGTTGTATTCTTTTCAATGTTATAACATTGTTTCTTTATGTATTACAGGTCATTATTCCAGCATCCATAAGTCCATTCCTCCATTTCTTCAACCGGGGAAAGCACTGGATGTGGATTCAGCCCACAATTCCCGAGAAGTTATGGGGTTTCCTCACTCGGGCCCAAGAAATGTCGAGAGTTGGAGAGAGAGAACGTTTATTGATCTAGAAGCTGATACAAGTAGTCATGAACTCATCCATAAAGATCGCTTGGAATCAAGCGTGGCTTCTAATGCATATCATAGCTTGCAACCCTGTAATCCTCCATCGAACCATTTCTGTTCATCTCGGGGAAATCCTAGTTTTGGCTTCCCTCGGAAAGCTGCATCGGCTCAGATGCTTCCGTTCCAAAACTTCTCTGACACGATGAGTGGTGATGATCAGAAACAGGGGTTTCTCATGGACAGATTACAGTCTGATGGAAATTCTAGATTTAACACGGGGTCTGGGAATAGTAGCTGGTTAAACCAGAACGGGTTTTACCACGAGTCCTCTGCTCCCAAAGAAAATCAGTTGAACTTTCCGGGTATAGACTGTAACTATTTGAACAGGAGAAGTGATTTCAGCCCAGCAAACGTATGTCGGGATTCAGATGACTCAGAGATGAAGAAAGAAGGATATCCAGCAACTTTACCGTGGCTAAGTTCCAAACCTGCCTGTAAGAGCGAGATAGTCGATAGGCAGCGGGATCCTAAGACCGGTGGTATTCCGAATTCGTTGGCACTCGAAGATGACCCGAGAAACAAACTTCAGAATCATGTTTGTTCCGAGAGTTTGAAATCTGATCCTTGTTCCAATCACTCGGGAACTAAGAAGATAGATGCTAGTGATTCCTCCGCTAATAGAAAAATTCTCGGGCGTCCCATTCTTGATGAACCTTGTAGTTATGGAGATCGATTGAATGCAGGAAAAGGTAAGGGGCATAACGTTAGGATGATGCTGGACATCAACATTCCGGCTTCTCTCTCAGATCACGAAGATTGGAAAACAGAGGATCAAACCGGGACAAAGATTTCTTCTGGTTTTAGGTTTTTTCAGATTGACTTGAATGTTTCTGTCAGCGATGATGATCACGGCTCAAGATTGGATGCGAAAGTACCCGTGATAGATCTGGAAGCACCTCCTGTTCCTGAATCTGATGAAGATGTATGGGAGGAGAATTCATCGGTGAAACCACCCGAGGAAACTCAGAAACAACAGGAAGATCTCGAGAAAATGGCAGCAGACACAATAGTTTCTTTCTCTTTAGCTTGTGATCTCAGAGATACAGAAAATGAGGTGGTTGCTTGTCATGATTCTTCATTAGAAGCTTTTGAAAACATCCTGCAATGGTTTGCAGAGACGATACACGCTCATGGAGAGAGGAATCTTGACCAAAAGCTCGATACGTCATCATCTTCCACTGGAGAGGTTGATTACTTTGAGTTAATGACATTGAAGCTACCCGAGGTAACGGAAGACGAGTACATGCCCAAGCCATCGGTTCCTGAAGATCTCGAACTCGTGGAACCGTCAAGACCAGCTTCGATTACGGGCCAAAGACCTAGGAGAGGAAACACGAGGAGGGGAAGGCAGCGTCTGGATTTCCAAAGGGACATTCTCCCGGGACTAACGTCTCTATCGAGGCACGAAGTAACGGAGGATATCCAGACGTTCGATGGCTTCATGAGAGCAATGGGAATCACATGGACATCCAGTTTGGCAAGGCGGAAAACGGGCTCGACCCGAGGAAGGAAAAGGCTCGTAGCAGCAGCCAATCCTCCATCGCTACCTCCTACCCGAAACCCGTCTACCTCCTCCATTCAACAACATCTGACCAACAATAATAACAGCAGCAATGGCAATATGGAGACGGGTTTGGAAGATCGAAGCCTCGGGGGATGGGGGAAGATGACGAGAAGGCCGAGAAGACAGCGATGTTGTGCTGGCAACCGTTCGTACAGGACGTTCGCTTGATAAATACATCGATACCGATACTGATTCTTTTTTCGAACGATGAATCATGGTAGAGAAGGTGAAGATGGATATTGTTGATGTACTTTACTCTCTTTTTTTTCCTTATCCTTTTGTTCAGTAACTCTGATCCTCGTTTTTACTATTTGTTGTTACCTTTGGGGGTCGAGGCTGCTGCTTTTTCTCAACTTCTATGGGTATGGTAATTCAAATGAAGAGCTCTATGTCAATTTAATCATACTTCCTTGAAGGGTGTGGAATACACGCGCGGTAGAGGCGCGTATGGAAAAGATTTCGACCGAGTAAAAAAGGACTATGTTTGGGTTCAGCGAATCATTGCTCCTTGTTTGTTTTATATAAACTAGGGCTGGGCGTTTCGGTTCGGTTCTTCAGAATCGGATCAAACCGAATCGTTAAAACGGTATTTTTCCGATCCGAAATCGCTGTTATTTTTCGAACGGTACTATTTTTAGAGAACTGAATTTTTCCGGAACCGAACCGAACCGAACTGAACTTTAAAAATTCCAAAAAACCGAATATTTTTAAAGGAAATCTATCATTTTTTAAATAAAACCCGGAACCGAACCAAACCGATACCGAAACCGAACCGAACCGAATACAATAAAAAACTCGATTGGTACCTATTTTTGTAAAACCGAAAGAACCAAACCGATTTATTCCGTCCCGAACCCGAACCTTTTCTCAAAACGCCCACTCCTAATATAAACCGTGTAATTATTTCATTTTTCATGTCCCACCAACCCTCTTATATTATTGGTCCGCCCTTTCGCAATCTGTCCCATCTTTTTTCGTTACAGGGCACATTAACTTTTCGATTTCCTGTTTTCTAGCAAAAACAACTCTCACTTTACCAACCCTTAAAAAGCAATTTGATTATTATATCAAGAATGCTAATAGTACCGGTTAATTTAAATCAAGGGATAAACCCATAAAAATTCACAAACTTGAAAATCCATGGAAAATAAATTCCTAAACAAATAGGTTAGAATAATAATTTTCGAATTTGAGAAATATGGAAATATAAATTCCGAACTTGAGAAATGTTGCCGTGATAAATTTTGACCGATGTTGACTAATTAAAGTGTCAAATATTATCCTACATGACTAGTGATACATCAGACTTTTTGTCACGTATCCAAAATCGAAAATATTTAACGATGTTTAATGAACCATACCAAATCGGGTTTTATTTAACCAAACCAAATTAGCTAAAAATCTACTATTCATCTTCTTCTTCGATTAAGATTTTGAAACCTTAATCTTCGTCATCACTTTTGCAGACATTATAAAATGATTGCCTAAATGAAAAGAACAAAAATTTCTCTCTGTACTTCTTTATTTACAATTTGACTTTCAATCTTGCCCGAAAATATCATGTGTGGACAATCCTACATTTTTTTAAAAATAGAAATTCTTTCTTCACACAACCGCTATGGAAACAATTGGTTAGGTAGACCCCAATCGAGGTTGCATATGTTATATTAGTTATTACTACTCGTAACTAGGGGTGAACACGAGTCGGATAACCAAAAAAATTGGGGTATTTGGATTTGGATCCAAAAGGCTCAGGTATTTAATTATAAGATTTGTATCCGGTATTTGGGATTTACGAGTATCCGGGGTATGAGTATCCAGAATAATGGTCAGATACTCGCGGGTATCCGGATACAGATTTATTTAAGAAAAAACAATAATATTTATATACAAAATTTTCAAAAAACTAAAGATATATTTATAAAAATGGATGAATTACGATAAAAATATGAGATAATAAGAGATAAATAATATTAAATTTAGTTTTTTTAGATAATATTAAAAAATGTGAAATTATTTAATCTAAAATAATTATATTTTATAAAAATATTATATAATATAAGATATAATTATTTATAATCATACTAGTCGGATATCCGCGGATATCCATTTTTAAAAATTCTATTATCCGGATTTGGATTCAGATTTACGGGTATTGAAAAATCCAGATATGGATTTGGATTTGCAATTTGTGAGTACTCTAAAATCGGGTATCCGCGAGACGAGTATCCGACGGATACCCGATTTTCGGGTATTTGTGCCCACCCCTACTCGTAACTAGGGATTTGATAAGCTTATGACAAAGTTTACCATGTAAAATATAATCTGATGGTTTTCGATAACTTTATGAAAACTCACCAGAATTGGATACGATTTTACATAATTCAAACAATTCGAAAATAATATATATATCAAATAAAAATGGTACCTAAATCTATTTTGCAGCGGAAGAACTTGGAAGAACAAACTAAATAGTTTCGTTGTTTGTTTTCTCTCCTTTCACCCTAACTTTGATAGTTTTTTCGATAGATGAAAAATATGAATCAAATGTCCATTATTTATAGGGTAAGGAGAGAGGAATAAACTTAAATATCCATAAACTTTAATACCATAATAAACTCATTTCCATCAATGAAGTCAAGATGATATTGAAGTTAAAAAAAATCCAAAATTACATGGTTATCCAGAATAATGCTCGAATACTCGCGGGAATGTGGATCCGGATTTATTTAAGAAAAAACAATAATATTTATATACAAAATTTTCAAAAAATCAATATATATTTATAAAAATGGATGAATTACGATAAAAATATAAGATAATAAGAGATAAATAATAATAAATTTAGTTTTTTAAGATAATATTAAAAAATATAAAATTATTTAACTAAAATAATTATATTTTTTAAAAATATTATATAAATATAAGATATAATAAATTTTATAATCATATTAGTCGGGTATCCGTGGGTACCCGCTTTTAAAAATTTTATTATCCGGATTTGGATTCAGATTTAGGTGTATTGAAAAATCCGGATTTGGATTTGGATTTGAAAATTACGAGTACCCTGAAATCGGGTATCCGCGAGACGAGTATCTGATATATACCCGATTTTCGGGTATTTGTGTCCACCCATACTTGTAACTAGGGATTTGATAAGTTTATGAAAAAGTTTACCATTGCGAGATAAATCAAGATAAAGCGGATGATTCTTACCTCAGAGGCCTCTATATCTGATTTACCACTGCGAGCAAGACTAAAGCTTTTTTTGTTTCCAACGATGGTCTCAAAAATCATTTCGTAGTAAAAAAACAAAAAAAAATGGAGACGAAAAAAATCGAATTTTAAGATTCTGAAATAGTTATGGTTAGGGGTGGGCGAATGGTCGGTTACGGGTTAATCGGTTATGGTTATTTCGGGTTTAGTTATTTCGGATTATTAAAACTCATAACCAAACGGTTAATTAATTTTATTCGGTTCGGTTTGGTTTGGTTAGTTTCTGGTTCGATTTGACTCGGTTTTGTCTATTTAAAACTATAACCAAATAAAGATTCGGTTCGATTCGATTTGGGTTCGGTTATAATATTTAAAAAATCAATTCATTTATAATTAAAAATATTCAAATAAAATATAATATAAAATATTATCGTAATTATTTTAAAATATAAAATAATAATATCTAAAATTCATATTTTGATATAAAACTATAAAATAAATAAATATCATTTTTTTTCTAATGTTTATATCACACAAACTTTAAAAACAATAATAACAATGATAAAATACGTTTAAAATATAATAAAACAATGATTAAATCAAGAATATAAACATTCATATATGTATATAAATATATATAAATGAAGATATATAAACGGTTCGGGTTCGGTTAATTCGGTTTATAAAAATTTATAACCAAACGGTTAATAATTTTTAATCGGTTCGGTTCGGTTCGG